CCCGCCCCGGCCGAGCCCGAGCCCCGGCCACGGCGGGGACTCACGGGGAGGCGAGCCGAGCGCCGCGCAACGACTCCTCATGGCGGCGGCGGCGGCGGCTCCCTCAACTTTCCCTCCGCCGCCGCTGCCGCCTCCGCGCCGCCCTCGTCCCCGGGGCGGCTCCGGCCGGCGAGGGCGCTGGGCGCGGCGCCCTCCTCTCTCCCTCCGCGCGCTCACCTGCGGCGGGGGAAGCGGCGTCCCGCGCTCCGCGACGAAACCCCGTCCTCGCCAGCGGCCGCCGCCGCGCTCGCCGCCCAGCGAAGGCCGCCCCCTCTCACCCRGGGCCCGTTACCGAGCGCCGACGCGGCGCCTTTAAGCGCGGCGCCGCGCGGGAGCTGTAGTCCGAGCGCGCCCGCCGCGGAGCACCACGGGAAGCGTAGTCGCGGCGCCGCCGCTAGCCGGCTCCCCGCAGAGGCGGCGGCGCGGGGCACGCCGGGAGCTGTAGTCCGCGCGCGCCCCGGCCCCGCGGGCGCCGCCTCCGCGCGGCGCTGACGGGAGAGGCGAGCGGCGGCGCGGGCCGAGTCGGCCACGCTTCCCCTGGGCGCCTCGCCCCGCAGCGCGGCCGGCCACAGGCGGCGGCGGCGGGGGCCGGTGCGCGCCTGCGCGGGAGGCGGCGCCGGCCGGTGAAGTTGGTCAAAGCGCCGGTGATAAAATGGTAGGTGGTTGGGAGCAGGGGGGAGGGGGTAGAGGAGGGGAAACGCGAACAAGCCGCGCGAGCCCCCCGCGCTCCGCCGCCGTTTCTCTCCCTTCCCGCGCGCGGCTCCGCCTCCCCCCCCCCCTCCTCCTGCGGCGGGGGGGAGCGGGGCGCCGGGACCCGCGGCCGTTGGTGGCCGTTGGCGGCGGTTGGGGCACGGGGCGACGCGGAGGCGGCAGCGCGCGGAGGTGCCTCCCCCCTCCCCCCCGCACCGGGCTCGGGGAAGGTCACCGGGGGCGGGGGAGGGGAGGCCGGGCCGGTGCGGGGGAGGGGGCCGCCCGCCGCCGCCGCCGCCGCGGGTATTTTGAGCGCGGCCCCGCGGCGGAGCCCGGCACGAACCTTTCCCTTTTTTGGCCTTGGGGATCCCGCGTCCCTCCCTGGCCCGCCTGGGTCGGGCGCTGGTGCAGGGAGCCCCTCCTGGATGCGTTCCCGCAACAGGAGAGCGGCGGAGAGCCTGCAGAAACAGCAGAGCGAGAAATGCCCCGCTGCTTTCTTGCCAAAGGCGCTGTAGTTGCTCCTGTGGCTGCTTTTCCCCTTTTGCCCTCCTCTTATATATATATATATAATCGAGGGGCGTTAAGGAAAGACCGAAACGGCTGTCTTGTTTACATAACGCGGTTCTTGTCTGGGACCATCTGTAGTGGAGAARTCGCCATCCGAGTGTTCACAAGAGATAACCGAACTGGGAGACGTTCCCGTGTTTACAGTTTCGCGCAGCCTCAGGCAGGGATACAATGTTTTTCCCTGGTTTGAGAGACCAGGAAAGTGATCCCTTCCACCACACCTGATAGAAGCAGTGTCTCTTTCATCAGAGCGCTCCATTGATGGCCCGCAACATGTTAAAGATGGTTTGAGGAAATTACAAAGTATCAAAACCTATAAGAAACTATCTTTTTTTTCCCCGTTATTAAGTCATTTCCCCCTCCTTCCGCCTTTGTGCACAGAAAGATGTTTAGCTAAAGATATTAACACCACATTTACTCAATGTGCAATCCCCATTCACACCTCTCAGATTTTGCATAAATTTAAGGCTGTTACATGGGTATGGCTGCTACAATTCACTGCAAATGAGGTAAAAATGTTACTAGTTCCTAGATACATACCACTATAGTAGATTGCYTTGTTGTTTAATATTAAAAGTATAAACTTCTTCAGTCCAAGTTTGTTAAAGATCATGTTTACAGGAACTTCACGTTCTCGTTCTAYCATTCATTAAATCCCTGGCATGTCTGCTTTATTTTCTTTTGCTCTTACATGTTGCAGTGATAATAGTTTCTAACATAGAAAGTGTCGAGAAGTGGTTGTAACTTTCAGCTGCTCACTTAAAATGGTTGAAGTTTGTATTGTTTTCTGGAGCTGGGAAAATACTAGGAGAACTATTAAGGAGATTTCTGTCTTAACTCAGAGTTTATGAAGGGCTTTTATACAGAATCTGAGAGAGTTGTGTCTTTGGCATGTTTTCTTTATGTAATTAATAGGCTTATTTTTCAGCAGATAACCGTCTTGTCATATGATAGAAGTGTGTTTATGAGTCCTACAAAATGAAAACAAAATTGCATGTGGGAGTAGTAAAGCAGAAATACGAATTTGTTGTGGCCAGAATATTTGCTGCTAAGGATGTACATATAGATGCTGTTATTTCAATTTTCAGAAGAAAATATTGTCTTTTTAACTTCAGAAGAACAAGGCTTTGTCTTCCTGTAATTTTCAAGTGAAAATTGTCACCAGCAAGAAAACTAAAACCTTTTAAAAATAGGCATTAGTAGTAGAATGCTGAAACAAACTTCTGGATTAGCTTCATTGGCTTTCCTGCTTCTTTTGCATCCCAAAGCATAAGCTTAAGTCGTCTCAGAAGGACAAGGTCCGCCAGTTTATGGCCTTCACCCAGGCCGGTGAAAGGACTGCTATATACTGCTTAATGCAGAATGAATGGAAGCTAGAAGTGGCAACGGATAACTACTTCCAAAATCCAGACTTATACTACAAAGAATCCATGAAAAACTCGGTAGATCGGAAGAAATTAGAACAATTGTATAATCGATACAAAGGTAAGGCTTATTATTATTATTATTATTATTATGAAATTGCTACCTACTACCATGTCCAGGCAGTTAGTAGCAGAGAGAGAGGAGTGAATGATGTTTAAAATGCTCTATATGCTTAACACACAATTTCCAATGTGTTCCTGTGGAATTCAAAGTCAATTCACTTTAGGAAATTAAACCTATAATGAGGATGTAGTGTTAGTTGCATATGGTAGCTGCAAAAGTGAAGCCACTTCCTTGGTCTTTTGCTGGTAGCTGCAGATATAGGATGATGCCACATGTTTGCATGGCAGAGCAATACATGTGACTTTTATACTAATTGTTTAATTTAGTCCAAAAATAGGAATATTGCTACCCATTAACACTGGGAAAAAATAAGGCTAAGAATTTCACAAAATATGCAATTAGTGCATTAATTTAAATAATTACATAATTAAGTAGTTAAAAATTAAAATACATTAATCCAGAAGTTGCATCCTTAATTTATTCTTTGTTTCACATATTACAGCACAAATTATATTCCTCTTGTTCAGAGAGGCTTTGAAGTAAAATTGCGAGGAATTAGATTAAAGGCAGAGTTGTTTCTTTTCCGTTTCTTGTAATTTTTCAGTATTGTTAAAACAGGAAATAATAAGAGGAAAGGATAGTCATGTAAATGTAAGAATTTATGTGATCCAGGTAACAAAGATTTTGGACTGTGGCCATTTCACATCAATACATGCATTGTTTGTTAAACATTAGTTCAGAGCAAGTTGAAATCATTACTAGCCACTGTTTGGCTCCAAAAAAACTTTTTTTTTTTTTTTTTTTAAAAAGGACTTTTAATAATTCAACTATGATTTTACATACTTTTCTAATATTTATATATGAATGGCTTTATGCACACCTCTTCCTGTTCTCATTTTTCCTTTTTTTTAATTCTTTAAATGTATTCTATTTTAATTATAGATATTTTTCAGTATTTCATGATAGGATTGCAGAGGGACAGAAAATTAGTGAAACTAGAGTATTTCCTTTGCTTATGTGAAAAAATTTATTAATCTTATTAGTTCTTCAATATTTGCTGGTTAATCTGAAACACAGTTGGGTTAAAATATGCTTTAGAACGCTACTAGGTCTCTAAAATTCAAAGAAAATCACCTTTTTTTTTTAACCATCACAATGTTCTAGCAGCGGAAAACTGCCACACTTGGATTTTATGAAGGGGAGTTAAGTCAGTGGTATAGTTTTCTGTCCTTTTTTTTTTTCTACTTAGCAACACAACTTTGCAGTTCTGACATTGAGCTCACAGTGAAACATGTGAACCTAAAACTTTTACGATATTTGAAAGGAAATAGATAAAAGTTCAGCTAAGAGCCTTTTCCGTTTTTCATAGGTAGCATAAACTTTACACCTTGGCTTCCTGACACAACTGAGTTCTTTTCTCCTATAGGGCCTACTACAAACATTGCATTAGATTTGAAATCTAAGATGAGAGTATATTTTTTTTCTCTGCTATCTCTACATTTGTTTTCTTATTTAATATCCAGCATATCTATCAAAACAGTAATTTCATGGTTATTTTTTCCTAGTTACTTGGATACTGTGAATAGTAATAAAGATGGAGTATTCCCTTGAAATCCATCAGATTATTTTCCATTGATCTCCACTCCCATACACCTTTTGCCTTCAGTTGTTCACTTATTCCCAAAATATACCAGAAATGATTTTTATGTTTTTACACCAAATCTGGCATACAACAACCATCTTTACTTCTTATTCCTGCTCAGAGCTCCCCAGTTTCAACTGAATTATACCAGGGGTGAAGATATTTGTTAACTCCTTTTCCTGTCCGCTATTTAAAATTTATCGTTTTTGCTACTGTAGTAGTGACAAAAATACTGAAGGATCTTATTTTAAAACAACAACAAGGAAAAAATCTTCCTTGATAGGAAACATCTTCCTATCAGGAGTTGGGAAAAACCAGTTCTGTAGTTTGTAAGCTGTACACTCTTTGTAAAGTGTTGAAAATGAGAGTTGTGATTTATTTTTTTTAAAGAAAATTAGTTCAATTTACTTTTTTTTTTGAGAATTCTGTTACAGTCTCATAGCAAAAATTAATCAGCGACTACATTTTGTAGGAATTAGTTAACTAGCTTGAAACACAAATGAATCAATCCAGTGTATGAAACAATCCATTATCTGTGAGAGAGTTATTGTTATCTTTTAGAGTTACATTTCATTATTTTGAAATAAAGTTTAATATTGCATTGTGACAGATCCTTACATAGGTAGCTCTGAAGTGCAGTTCTGTCTCTAAAACGTCCTAAACTGAGTATTACCGTGACATAATGTTTTGTAAGTTGTGTTGCTTAGCTTAACACCTTATTTTGCTAAGGTGTTATTAGAGCGATTTTTGGTGATTTTCCTGCTTACAATTTAAAAAAATATATTAACTGATCTGTAAACAGTTAAAGTGAATTTATTCCTCCCTATATATCATAACATGGAAAAAAAATACATGCAATTACACCAGTATATATTGGTTAGCACACACCAAAGTAAGTATCCCCCCCAAAAGGTTAAAAAAACTACTAAGCATGTCTACATGTTATTAGCCTTATCATTTTTTTTAGCTGCAGTTGGCATTTCTTCCTCTTTATTCAGATCTTTCATGGAATAATGTGGAAAGGAAAAAAAATATATATTATGTTTTTAAAGTCAGCTGGCGAATGTAGGAAAAAAATGCAAGTTGATTCTTATGGAAGCTTGCCAAATACATAATCTACTTATAGCTGCTCTTTAGGTACTTTTAAAATTACCTAGATTTCAAATAAAGACATAATTTTGCAAAGCTTATGTAAAACAGAAGGCCTATGTTATGCATCATGTTAAAGCTGTGCTGATGACTTTTCATAAATAATTTTGATGAGTAATTGTAATTCTCCCTTTTGTACTTTGAACTGCAGACCCACAAGATGAAAATAAAATTGGCATTGATGGTATTCAACAGTTCTGTGATGATTTAAGCCTGGACCCTGCCAGTATCAGTGTTCTGGTTGTAGCATGGAAGTTCAGGGCAGCTACTCAATGTGAATTCAGTAAAAAGGAATTTGTAGATGGCATGACAGACTTGGGGTGAGTATCCATTTCTGTGTAGTTCAAAGTGTAAGGCCTGGGCTCAGTTTCTGTTTAAGATGTTTGTAATTGACTCAAATGTGAAACTTTGAATACTCTTTGTGGCCTTGTGTTGTTATAGTTCTGCTGTGCCCCAAGTGACCCACGCTGTCAGACTCTACAGGCCTTTGTGTAGATGCATCGTGGCAGTGGAAAAGGGAACGTATTAAAAATTTGCAGTACTGTGTGGCTGGATTTGCACAGTAGTTGTGCTTGGTTTGTTTTGGAGGGGCTCAGCTTTTTWCGGGATCCCACCAAAATGGCTAAAATGGTTATTTAATAGATTAAATAGGTTATTAATAACCTACTAAATAACCATTTTGACACTAAGCTGGCACTTGCAAGATTGTCATGGTAGTGTGTTGTAGATGTATAGAAGACACTTTTATTTATTTCTTTTTTTAGCAGAGCTATTGAATCAGTAGTTTGGTTACTGGCTGGTTTCCATACAGTGATTACCTTCTGACCATCTTGGAGTTCATACCTGCAACAGCTCTTTCCTTTCCCCTCATAGCCCAGTTACAAATGATGGATAAAGCATTTGAGTTGGCTGAAGGAGCTTAGCTTCTTGGCTTGGTTCTTAGTTGTTAAAGGCCATCCSTTTGTTCCCTGATAATGGTGGTGTAAGCTCTGCAGGGGCCAAAGACCTTGGTGTCCTCTCTTCCTTCAACTGGTGCTGGACTGCAGAACCTGAGCAATGACCTCAGCAAAAGTGAAGCAAAATAAATCCCGRCTGTGCAGCAAGGAAGGCAACGTGTTGGTCTCTTGATGTGACTCATGGAAAGCACATGCGTGGCTTCATTATGCTTTTGTATTCAACTGTGTGCTGCTGAAGTTGAAAGTCACGGGGGATGAAAAATCGAGTTCACTCAGCGCTGAAGGCTTAGATGAAAGCAGATGAAACGTGTCCTTATCTTGTCATCAAATGCGTTTTTTCTTTTGACTGGTTTTACAAGCAATCGTTTTATTGTCTCTTATGCTAGACAGTTGTTGTTCAAAATATCTGTAAAAAGCTGAAGTTAAAATCAGGATTTTCCTGGTAGAAGAGGTTGTTTATTCTGACTGGCATAACCTCAAAAAAAAAAAAAAAAATTCTTCCTGAATTTTGAAACTTCTTTATTAGGACTTTGAGGTTACACCATGTTGCTTCTGTTGCTTCTGTTTACTAGTGGAATCAAGCACCTATCACCATAAAATAATRTTTTGTGTTTAGCTTACTTTGAAGAGATTGAGTAATACTCATATTTAGAAGGCTTGAAATGATTTTTGTGAACAGATTGCATTAGGTAGGTGGAGAACCGGAGTTTATTTTTTGGATGCATACTTTCAGTTGCTGATAAAGTTTAATTTGATTTTAGATTGGTCTACTGCAGAAAGGCATTAATAAGGTGCCTCCTCAGTCAAATGCAGTGGTTGTTTCTTGAGCAGGGGGCCTCGCAATCTGTTGCTACTGATCTCAGCAATTATTGACCTCTTTCTAAGCTTTCCCTGTTAGGTACGGATATTCAGAAGTTGTGAGGAAACAACTTTCCATATCACTTGATCCACTGCTTTAATTCATCCTTTTCAGTCTGAAATTTCTTCTTTCCTCCTCTCCTTYTCCCTCTCCTCTCCTTTTTTCTTTCTTTTTTCACGGGGTGGGCGGAAGGCTGCAAGAATATGTGACTCTCTGTGGACCTGGAGTCAAGCGCTCGTGCTGTTATATTAGAGTCTATTGGCACTATCTGATATCTCTGACAAGAAACGTTTTGTTGAGCCACATGTGGCTTCTGGCTGTGTTTTGTGCCTTCGTTATCATGTTGCTCCTGTCCCCTAATGGCTCTTGGATACAGTTCAACAGAAATCTGCTATTTTTACTGCCTTCTGCTTGACATGCAGGCTGGGTTTTGGGGAGTATGGTCTGATCATACCTGGTAGCAGCTAATGTGCTGCTTGCTCTTAATTTAGAGTAGTTCCTGTTGTGTAGAGGAGGTGCAGCATCTGTGCTGGAAAGCTTTGAGAACAGATTTTAAATGAAAAAAATAGTTGAGTCTCAGTCCCTCTAGTACATTTAGAGTGGGAATGAGAAGCATCTAGATGGTGTGAGCGTCCTCCTTAAATAGACCAAATCCCCAGGAAACAGGTTCCCAGTTGAGGGCTGTTGGTAGAATTCTTCTTTTCATGTTTCCACTTCACTTTCTTTTCTTATTCTTGAAGCTTTGACATATATGAATTATATTAGCCACTGAGAAATTTTAAGTGCAAGAACCTTTTATGGTGGCTACTTCTTTGAAAACTACTTTCTTCTCAGYTTTATGTAGAAATTCATAGAAAGTATTGGTAGTAGCCCCAAAACCTTGCATATTCATTTGATCCCTGGGTGTATGGGGACAGCTTTTTTCTTTCAAAATTGCATCTTGTCAGCTCAAATGCTCCTGCTGGAAATATTTAAGTCTCATGTTAAGGGATATATTTCTCTTGGAACTGGGACTCAAGTAACTCGATTCTATCTTAGCTTTGCTTGTATCAGGTTGTCAAACAGTTTATTGGTCTTTAAGACATCAGGAAAGCCTCATCTTTTTTTCTAAATTTTATCCATGTGTGAACTATGAAGGACTGCAAATAATAGTTCATTTTGCTGGGAAGCCTTCTAATTTGGGTTAACAGTATGATTGTGTGTATTTTGAAGAATGCTAACTAGCAAAATGCTCTGTTCTTCCTAACTACTGTTTGATTCTTGTTCTGTTCTATGTTGTTCTGAATCCAAACTTATTAAATATTTACAAATAATGTCATTTCTTTTGCAATAGGTGTGACAGCACAGAAAAACTGAAAGCTCTTTTGCCAAGACTGGAACAAGAGCTGAAGGATCCARTAAAGTTTAAAGATTTTTATCAGTTTACTTTTAACTTTGCTAAAAACCCTGGACAAAAAGGTTTAGGTAAGTAGAAAAAAAAGTCAAGAAAATATCTCCAAACAGTGAACTGTTCCTAGTGCCACTTATAAAATAGTCACAGTGATGATTGTATAGCAAATTCATTATTGGTTTCTTGCCTTGATTTATTTTCTCTTCTCAATTAGTTTCTTCTGTAATGATACTTTGGTATAAATAATTCAACTGGATTTTCTGCTATTTTGACATTATCTCCTCATATCAGAGTAAGTGCCTCTAGTTAGAAACCTTCCATCATTACTGCRAAAAGAAGTGAGCTGGTGAACCCTTTATGTTTTGCTTTGTTCAGCAAAAATTGAAACAAAATCCTTCTATCAGCTCAGAAAGAAAGGGAAAATTCTGGTTAAAAGTTTGCTGACCTCTAGAGAATTTTACATTAAAATGTGGCCTGAGACGAAACRAAAACAACCAACCTACTGTGGCTCTACTTCCAGAAAGTAGACATAGAATATATAAATACACTTAAATTCTTGCCTTCTTTCAAGTTTTTGTTTATCCTTGTCTCTACTTTGTATTGCTGGAGTAAAATGGATACATTATGTAAATGCCAGTGCTTTATTCTTGTACTTCAAGTTAATGCCACTTACCGAGTTTGCAACGAGAGTGAAATATTTTTAAGATGACATCTGATACTCTTTCCAGTTGATGTCCACTTTCAAAAGACACCATGTGTGAAGAAATTAAACTCTTCTGTGTGAAGCTTATTAGAGYAGCACCATGAGCACTGTGCCAGTTGTGCAACAGGAGGAAGTGCGGGTGTTTTCTTGTTTCTGTTTTGTGTCTTTGTAAACGTGGCCACTTTAAGTCTACCATTGCTGGTAAACTTTTTTTGCAAGAGAAGAGGCCTGTGGCTCATTCTTTCTTATGTGTTACTTTGATTATTAGCCTTTGTCTTTCTCAGTGTCTCTTGTTTTGTTTTTTGTGGGCAACTTTTCATCAGTTTCCATTTTACTTCAAGAGCAGGTTCTGTTTATGTTACATGTGGCATGCCTTTGTGGATCGTGTGCCATCTTTCCAGCAACAAAAACGGTGTAGTCCTCTAGCAYAGCTTTGTTATTGTTCCCTACTAACTTAAATAGGCAGGGTAAAACAGTGGTTTTGTAGTTGAACTGAAGTTCACGAACTAATTATTCATTTTCTCGCTACTCTCCATTAATAAGTTTAGTACTTCTAGACTGGGGAAGAGGGCAGGTCACTTCCAGCTAGGCTTGGAGTTTATGGGATACCTCCAGAAATATTACAGATGGCTCTCTGTTTGAGTTGGCTCAGGTTCAAACTGAAACTCATATACTTGGGAAATATGTCCCGAAAGCTTTTCATCTATRTTTGTACAAAGAGGGGAGGAGGGAAGGAGCCCAGCCCAGCTTATGGAACTGAATGTGCTGTTTATTTGATATGAGCAGGAAGAAGGAAGCATTATTGCTTTCCATAATTTCTGTTTATTTGGAATGGAGACCCTTGCATTTAAACACCTGTCCCTCTGCTGTGTAAGAATGGACCGTTAGGCAGTAAAGCACCTACATACCTTTGAGTGTTAAGAGTTCAAATATTACTGGGAGAAACAAAGTGCAGAAATGACAAGTTGACCTTAAAATGCACTATGGAAAGAATTGTTTCTTTCTGGAATTGTTGCTGGTTCCTAGTTGAGTAATTTTATTAATTCTAGTCATATTCTTTCTTAATTGCTCATTGTTCTTAGGTTTTACAAGGCTGGATTGGGGGAGGTTTTTTTTGTGCGACTTTCTCACTTTTCCCAGGTGATGTTTAAATATGAAAATAGTCAAAGCTCTACTACAAGCGAGTGCTGCAGTTCTTGCTTCAGTGCAGATCCACCCCACTTCTGTGTGCTGTGAACATGGGCCGCTGCAGGTCGAGTAGGAAGAGTGCAGAGCAGCCACGTTGACTAACGTGGCATTGCTGTGCATTTGAAGTCAATGGGAGTTTAGCCAAGTAAAAATTAACACTGCACAAGGTTGGAATTGGAATCTTTTCAGGGAAGTCTCGTATATTCAGTGAGGCATGGAGGAAGAGATGAAAAGTCTATAGGCTGGTGTCTAGAACTTGCTGCTTCCTGTTACAATTATTCTGAGAGTTATTTTTGCTCTTTCAGCCAAAAAAAAAAAAAAAAAAAAAAAAAAAAAAGCATTGGGCAAGCAGAAGTTTAGTCAGTTATCTTAGAGAAGTTTCAATTTGAGCTGGGAACTCTAGTTTCTTTAGTGGCAACTAGTACAGTCTTTACCTTTTTTGTTTGTTTATTTTATATCCTCTTCTCTATATCATTGTTTTTCTGGAAGAAAGTAGTTTGTTCATCTTCTCTCCCTTTCTCTCTGTGAAACCACCTAGAGGTGTCTGCAGTTTGTGCTTCAGTGGTCGCGTGGGCTSCTCACAGGGACATACAGGAGCTTGTCTCATCCTTGCAGAGAAACTGTTCCTCTCTTGGAGCCTTGGCTCAGGATGCTTCTAGGAATTCAGTCCAGAGAGTGAAACAGAGGAGCTCCCAGTTAGATTCGTTACCACATGAGTTGGTGTTGACTTCTGCCTAGCTCTGCCCTGCTTCCCCCTGAGCTGGGAATCTCTCCTGCCTGCCCACGCACGTGTTCGATGGCAGGCAGTGCTATGAAAGCATAGGGTGCTGCTGAGCAACTGCCCTRCTTGGCCTGCCCTGAATTCCTTGCTGCTCCTGTGATGGTCTTGGTGTATTCATTCACATAATGTACATTTGAGTTACARCTTTGAAGACTAAAACAGGTCAGTACATTTGTAGAAAACAGGATTTAAAAAAGACTTAAGASATTATTTGTTTTTATGCTTTGGGAGCATTGACTCCTCTTTGATTTGTATGACTGTGAAATGGTGAATGATCTTAATTCATGAAGTGGAAATAATGGAAGGAATCTGGCTTTCAATTACAGAATATTTTAATGTGTCATGAACTGTTCACTGCTCCTTTACTACGCTGGAAACTTAAACAACCACCCTGGTAGGTGCAGCTTTCATTTTGGTTTAGGACAGTGATCTGTTTGTTGAAAGAATATTACTTGAATCTCAGATATCATTAATGTGACTTGTAAGTATTCCTCTCTGAAAATTAACTACATTGGTAAAGTACCAATAGCAAACAGGAAAGTCTTGTTCTCAGGAGCTAACTAATAAGAGCTTTTCAAAGCTACATTAAAATACATCTCTTGGCTCCTCCAAGCTAAATTGAGGCTAATTATTTTTTACACTTATTATCTTAATATACTGAAATAATAAGCAATTGCTCCAATGTCTCTAAAATGTCCAAGCACAAATGCTGTAGTCAAGAGGCATGTTCATTGCTGTATYGGTATCTTAACAGAATCACAGAATCCCAGAATGGTTGAGGCTGGAAGGGGCCTCTAGAGATCATCTAGTCCAACCCACTGCTCCAGCAGGGACACGCAGAGCACGGGGCAGAGGGCTGCGTCCAAGCGGGTTTGGAGACCTCCAGAGAAGGAGACTCCACAGCCTCCCTGGGCAGGAGGGAGGGCTCCCACAACCTCCCCAGGGCTCTGTCACTCTCACAGGAAAGAAGTTCCTCCTCACATGGAGATGGAACTGCCTGTGTTGCAACTTACACCCRTTGCCCCTTGTGCTGTCACTGGCCACCACTGAGAAGAGCTTGGCCCCTTCCTCTCTACATTCTCCCTTCRTGTACTTATACATGGTAATCAGATCCCCTCTCAGCCTTCTCTTCTCCAGAGAAAACAGGCCCAACTCAGTCTCTCCTCATACAAGAGATATTCCAATTAACTTGCTTCTATCACAAGTGAAACTTATTGTCCTTTTTTTTTTTTTCTTTAAACCCTTCTCTAACACTGGGGAGATAAAATGACTCATGGATTCCTTTTCCATATGCCAGGTGGTCTTCCAATTCAGACCATAGATAAACATTTGCTTAGTATATTCCCTTTTGCCAAGCAGGATTGACTGTTGCCTGAACCTTTCCTGACAGATGTTTTTCTAATCAAGTGTTCAATGGTGTGTTAGCAGTATAGACCAGCTTAGCATTTCAGTAGCTTTCTGCAAGAAAAATTGAGATGTGTTTGGTGGCGGTCCTCCAGCCGAAAAACTTCGGAAGCCACTTAGTATACTCTTAATTTCCAATGACATATCTCATACTCGGACAGTCTTTGTCAGTGCTTGATCACACCTATTGTTGATTTTTTTTTCTTTTTCCATCTTATAACTGCAATCTCCAATGCTTTTTTTTTTTTTTTTTTTTTTTTTTTAAGTTTTATGCTTGTATCCAGAGCAAATTACCTAGGTGTGCATTTCCTTACAGTCACTAAGAATTTTTTACATATTTAGCAACTATATTATGTCTTCACCTAGTCTCTAGACTGAGTAAAATAAACTACCCTGCTAAATATTATCTTTTAGGTCTCTGATATGGTGGTTTGTTTTTAACCTTTGCACTCCAATTCTCTCTCTCTTTCTTGTCCTATAGTAGGAAAAGATTTTGTGCGCCTTAAGTATTTCACTCCTTGCTTTACATCTCTGYACTGTGTTCTTATGTTAGTAATACAGATACTGTTGTCAATTTATGATCCTTTAGTTGTGGAATTCTGCAGAACTGCTGTGTGCCCAGTTGGTTCCCATCTCCTATTTCTGCAACTACTGTTTCCTAACAACACTTTTACATTTCTTTCTAAAAAAAAAAAAATGTTTCCTGTATATTCAATTCTTCTTTGCATTTGTCCAGACAATTTTGAATTGCAGTCCCGTGTTCTCCAGTGCTGTACCTCTTCCAGGCCTTGTATTATTTGCAGATTAAGTAAGTTTTATTTGTATCATCTCAGTTACTGACTTTGGTGGTTAGTGGGCTGGGCTATAGGACTCGTGCAGTTTTGCTGCATTCTTCCAGTTTGACAGAAACCCCTGGTGATTAAGATGCAAGTGCAGTCTCCTAGAATCTCATCTGACATCCTAGAGTCTCCAAGATGATTTTAACAGTTTGAGATGGT